TTTGCAGTGTGTGAATTATTTTCACAGGGAAATGAGGTTAGTTTTCACATATATGTGTATACATTATATAACTTTCTAGAGAATCATAACAAAGAGAGTATATCCCCTTTCTGAGTTTGCTTTTTTGTGTAAAGTGAAGTACCTACTTCTATGGAATTTTAACATTTAAAGTATCACTATACCAGTTTACATAATATATATTTTTGCGTACCTACATCAAAATCTCGTATCTAATTTGTTACATAAGGATATTTTATATTATATTATAATTATTATTGTTCTTTTTATTTTAAAAATTATTATCTTTATTGTTATTGCTATTACTGTTAACCCCTTGACAGTCGATGGCCCATATATATATGTCCAAAAAAAGTCGTGCCACCTTTGTGATTTTGGACATATATATCCACATTAGAAAAAAAATACTAAACATAATAATTCGATTTGAGTGTCAATGGATATACTAAGGTTTTTGGGGTCAGTGAATCCGAATTTGAGGTCAGATTTAAAAAATTTTAAATGGCGGACCCAATATGGCGACCCAATAAGGTAGAAAATTTTAAAATTCATTTGATTCGTTCAAAATTTGGTACTCGAAGGTTTTCGGGGTCACTGAATCCAAATCCAAAATACCCCCCAAGTACCGAGTTTTGAACTAATCAAATCAATTTTAAATTTCATCCGTCATATTGGCTCCGACATTTTTAATTTTTTAAATATGACCTCAAATTTGGATTCAGCGACCCCAAAAACCCCCGAGTACTAAGTTTTGAACGAATCGAATCAACTTTAAATTTTTTCCGCTATCTTGGGTCCGCCATTTTGAATTTTTTAAATCTTACCTTAAATTTGGATTCAGCGACCCCAAAAACTTTTAATACGATGATATGATATTTTTTTGGACCATTTTGGGCCCACAAACGATTTTTCTACTACACTGCGAAAGGGTTAATATTGTTATTATTATTGATGTTATTATTATTATTATTATTATTATTATTATTATTATTATTATTATTATTATTATTATTGTTATTATTATTACTGTTTGTTACTGTTATTATTGTTGTTATTGTTATTATTATAATTATAATTAAAATAGTGGTACAACGTAAGCTTAAAAAGTAACATCTATTTATTTTGACAAGTTCACAACACGATTAAATAATTTAAAAATTTTTTTTATAAAGTTTAAAATTTTCTTTAAATATAGAAAAAAAATTGTGATTTTTGTACCATAATAGATCCCGGTTGACGTTATTCAAAAAGTTTTTCTCAAATACGTCACTTGATATATATTTTTCTATTTTGTGCTTATAAGATATACGAATTGGCCGATAATATAATTTTTCCATCAAAGATTCCGTGGAAAATGGAGCGCATACTCAAAGAAAAATGCACAAAGACATATTTCACCATCTTTTTTTTTTTTTTTTTTTTTATTGGCGAGAGTAAGGCGAGCGAAATTTTTTTTTCTTTCTTCTGTTTTTTTTTTTTGCCAAGTCCCCAGCTGTTTCTTTTTCACTTTAAACTCAGGGATCACGTTGAATTTTCTGGGCACCCAGACATACGTATACATATATACATCCTCTCGTACTCACTGCTTGTATTCCTGTTGGAATTTTACTTTACAGCAACAGAGAGATAGAAAGAAAAAAAGAAAAAAAAAGAGAGAGAGAGTCTCTGATTCTTTAGGAATTTCACTGAATGTGTATAACTCATATATATACGAAACATACTTTTTATTCTTTTTTTCTATTTCTCATCCTTTTCCTCTTTCTTGTCTATATATATATATGTATGTCTTTTTCTATGTACACCAATCCGCGTAAGCTTTGTAGATGTATGAGTATACATGAATAATGTTTTCCATAATATATATATAGCCAGATTCACGAATGAAATGGAAGAAAAATTTCTCTCAACGTTTCTTGAAAAATTTTAAAATGAAAATTTTCGTGCGTGATTGTACTTTGGTTTGGTCCAGTAGTGTGTGCGAAAGAGGTAGAAGAAGAGAAGAAAGTTGCGAGGTATACAAGATGAAAGGATGAGGATTTAGAGGGATGGAAAGGGTTGAGTGGAAAGATGAGGGAGAAGGAGAGCGAAAGAGAGGATAGGAGAGAGGGAGGGAAAAAAATGAGTAAAGAGGGAGGATTGTAGGTGGTTTTTCTGTGAGGGTAGGTTTCTCTTACACGACTCAAAGCGGCGCGGCGTACATAAAACGAGCAACGTCTACCGAAGAAGCAACGGGGGAATTGTCTGGTCCAGCACGGTTGCGAGATTACTGTTAAATTTTTCGTCGTTTGTCCTCGCTTCATCTTAAAAGGCAATTTGCATGCTCCTCTTAACCTAAACATTTCAAAAAAAAAAAAAAAGAAAAAAATAACTTTTTTTACAGAGAAACATTATTACCCACTTGGAAAGATTCCCCGGAAAGTGCCCCCTGGAGGTTCTATCAGAATTCCGCCGGAACTTCCAACGTAATTCCGACGCCATTCCATCGGAGTTCCAAAGAATTTCAGATGGGATTCCGCAGGATTCCGATTACTTTTTTTCTGATAGAACCGCCAGGGGGCACTTTCCGGAGAATCTTTCCAAGTGGGACTCATGAGCTATTTTAACTTAAATTTAACACAGATTTTTGATTGCTACAAAAAATATTTTGTGATATTTACAAATTGTTTCGTATCAGTTACAATCCATTTTGCATAGATCACAATCCGATTTGTAATATTTACAAATTGTTTTGTATCAATTACAATTCGTTTTGTATAAATAACAATTTCAGAAAATTAAAAGGCATTAAAATAAGCTGCAACGCTTTTTTTCAATCCAATTCTGCTTATTTTAATACCAAAATGGATTAAAATAATATCAATATTATATTTTTCGTAATTTGTGATATCTACAAATTGTTTTGTATCAATTACAATCCATTTTGTATAGAACACAATCCAATTTGTGATATCTACAAATTGTTTTGTATTAATTACAATCTGTTTTGTGTAAATCACAATTTCAGAAAATTAAAAGGCACTAAAATAAGCTGCAACGCTTCTTATTTTAATCCAATTTTGCTTATTTTAATACGAAAACAGATTAAAATGATATTAATATTACATTTTTTGTAATTTGTGATGTTTACAAATTGTTTTCTATCAATTACAATCCATTTTGCATAGATCACAATCCGATTTGTAATATTTACAAAGTGTTTTGTATAAACTTCAATTTCCGAAAATGAAAAGTCATTAAAATAGACTGCAAAGCTTCTTTTTTTAATCTAATTTTGCTTATTTTAATACCAAAATGGAGTAAAATAATATTAATATTATATTTTTTGTAATTTGTGATATTTACAAATTGTTTTGTATCCATTACAATCCATTTTGTGTAGATCACAATCCGATTTGTGATATCTACAAATTGTTTTGTATTAATTACAATCCATTTTGTATAGATAACAATCCGATTTGTGATATCTACAAATTGTTTTGGATCAAATACAATCCATTTTGTATAGATCACAATCCAATTTGTGATATCTAGAAATTTTTTTGTGTCAATTACAATCCATTTTGTATACATCACAATCCAATTTGTGATATCTACAAATTGTTTTGTATCAATTACAATTCATTTTGTATAGATCGCAATCCGATTTGTGATATCTACAAATTTTTTTGTATCAATTACAATTCATTTTGTATAAATCACAATCCGATTTGTGATATCTACAAATTTTTTGTATCAATTACAATCCATTTTGTATAGATCACAATCCAATTTGTGATATCTACAAATTGTTTTTTATCAATTACAATTCGTTTTGTATAAATAACAATTTCAGAAAATTAAAAGGAATTAAAATAACCTGCAACGCTTCTTATTTTATTCCAATTTTGCTTATTTTAATACCAAAATGGATAAAAATAATATTAATATTATATTTTTTTTTGTAATTTGTTACACGGAGAGAAATCTGCTGCGATTTTTGCTTGTGCAGTCTTTATTAATTTCATAAGTCATTTTTCGATACAATTTTAGCTTAAGACTGGAATAATTTAAATATGAATTCATGTATTTAATGTAATGGAGTGTATCAAACAAAAAACACAAGTCACGGGTGTTAATTTTGCATGAATTTCACATAAAAACTGCAAAGTGGACATGCCATAAAAGTATTAGATCCTCTCTTATAAAATTTGCAAGAATGCCATCTGATTTTCAGGTGGAATTTATACAACACAATCTTACCTCCGTATACACACAGCATTTCACACACACACACAAATATTATATGCTGCGTTGATTCCGAGGAACGGCGCACAATCTATGCGCGCTACGGAGTTCGCGTTCCTTATATTCAACTTTCAAGTGATAAAAAAATGTGCTCGTTTATTTTCGTCATCTAAAGTTTATAAAATAACAGTATTATGTATAACTTTAAGAATTAGTGTTTATACGTGTTGCAATAAGAAAAAAAAATTTTAAATAAAATTATTTTAAATTTCGCGGTTAAAAACGCATAGTAAAAGACGAGCGTGCGCATTGTGCGTTCCGTTCCTCGGAATCACCAGCATACAAGGATTGTGTGTGTGAAATGCTGTGTGTATACGGAGGTAAGATTGTGTTGTATAAATTCCACCTGAAAATCAGATGGCATTCTTGCAAATTTTATAAGAGAGGATCTAATACTTTTATGGCATGTCCCCTTTGCAGTTTTTATGTGAAATTCATGCAAAATTAACACCCGTGACTTGTGTTTTTTGCTTAGATACTATTTTTACAATAAATACTTGAATTTATGCTAAAAATGCAAGTGTCGTGCCATGTAATTAAAGTAATTTACTCATCCAAGCAAAAATCGCAGCAGATTTCTCTCCGTGTATATTTAGAAATTGTTTTGTATCAATTATTAATTATAATAATCAACAATATTTTGTAATTTTCTTTACAATAAATACTAATAATAACAATACTTACTATTCTTTATAGTACAGTAGCTATTTACTATCTTTATTTATTTATTTATTAATTGTATAATTAAGTATTTACTATTTTACAAGACTGACGAAACTAATAATATTAATAATAACAAGATTATTTTCATCCTTTATTTTATAATTATAATAATTATTTGATTTGGCAAGAATGATAAAGAATCTATAATATAGTAATAATTATAATAATATTAATTGTTCGTAATTTATATTTTCTTCATAGCAAAATACTTTATATAAGTTATATTTGTCATTGTGCGATTTGTTCAAATAGTACTGTAAATTATTTGGACTTAATATTTTTATTGTCAAAGAATCTCCCATCCTGAAAAAGACCGCCAATCAAATCAGCGAAACCCCCACCGCTACCACCTCCTCCTCCATTCCAACCGCCACCACCTCCTCCTACATTCCAACCACCTCCACCTCCTCCTCCAATCCCACCACCACCTCCTGCATTCGACCCATCTTCATTACTCCAACTCCAACTCCAACTATCTCCTGGTGTATTATTATTTTCATGGTAATTAATACTACCATCGCCATTGATTACGTACGAAAACGTATATGATTTACCATTTTCATCATTATTTTTACTACTTGGTTTCTCTTCTCTAATAGCGGCACCTGTGACAAATTAAAAATTCTTCATTTATATAAATATAATATAAAATTATTATTATTATTATTATTCATTAATTCCCTATGTATTATTAACATACACGCAAAGAAAAAGTTTGCTGTGGCATTGAACTATTTGCTGTTACATTAAATTACGTTAGCTAATATAGAGACAGCGAAAAAAATTTGCTGTGGGGTCAAAAAAGTTTGCTGTGAGAGTAAATTTTTAAAAATTTTAACTGATAATGTTTATTACGGCAAACTTTTTCGTTATCATAGCAAAAAATTTAGCTGTGGTTACTAATTGTGATAGATCCGATAGCAAACATAAATTAGCTGTAAGCAATTCCTTTTTTTTCCGTGTGGGGCTTTAAATATCTGAATGTAACGTAACATAAGGTAATGTAAATTTTATCATCTTTAAAATACACAGGGTCATATAGATCTAGTATTCGCTAAATTTGAGGTTAAAATCGTAAAATATAACCTCAAAATGAAAAATAATGAAACTTGAAATATCAAGATCATAGGTTGAAAAATTAACCTAATTTCAAAATTTTAAGTTAAATAACAATATTACACACTGGAAAAGAAATAGTATTGAATTAAGAAAACCCATTTATTTATCCGTACTTAATTCAATTTTTTTCTGGATCCAAGAAAATTTTACTAGTTTGAAGTGAGTTTTCTTTAATTAAAAAAATTAGTCAAATACGGATAAGTAAATGATTTTTTTGAATCAATTATACTTTTATTCAGTATAGGTCAAAAAACTATACTATTTAAGTGGCTCTGAGGTATGTGTTTTCAATTATTGTATCCTCAATGTCTAAAGTTCGATACCCATTGCGTGTAAGGTTTTTTATTCTTATTTTTAAGTGTCCATGTATAATATATTTTTTTTTAATAATCTCAAATAAATCATAAACATGAAGTAGGAAATGTAAATATTAAATAAATAGGAAAGTAATTAAAAATTCTTTCGATAGTTAATTATAAAAGAATTTGTAACAATATGAAAAAATACTTTTTATAAAATATTAATACAAGATTAATAATATCTATGAATAATAAAATTTCTAATAATTATTTTGAATATTTATTGTTAATAATAGTTTATATATTCTAAATAACATTAACCATCAAAAGAACGTCAAATTATATTTCTCAAAAGAAAGAAAGCAAAATATAATTATTAAAAAAAATCATTGTTAAATTTTTTTATAGAAATAAATCAACATTTTTTAAACCTCGTTTAGCGAAATTATAATCCAAGAATGTAATAATAATCATAGTAATAGTAATAATAATAATAATAATAATAATAATAATAATAAAAATAATAATAAAAATAGTAATAATAGTAATACTGATATGACATTAACAAAAATAATAGAAACAATAAAAATAATACTTATTTATAATTACCATTTGTGGATGCAATAATCAATACTAACAATGTAGTGATATGAAGTACCTGAAATAGATATAATTTTCTGTTTAATTAAAAATTTAAATAGAGTATTAAAAAATATTTTCGACGATTAATATTTTACGTACAAATAGTGGAAAGAAAATGACAAAAATTCTTCTACGTTCTTTATATAACGATATATCAATCTATTAAAAAAAAATTCACTTACGTTCATTCTAAAGTTTGTATGATGTCTCTTTACTGAGCAAATTGTACCAACAGAATTGTGTATTTAACACACAAGTCACATAAATTACTCATTACATAATGTGTACTGATCTTGTCAACTTTTATTTATTTTTTTTATATAAAGCAAATACAATTAAAATTATATAATATTCGTTACGCATCGTTCCCATATATATTATTCATATAATTATTAATAAAAAGTAGTATATATATATATATATATATATATATATATATATATATATATATGACATTTTTTGTTTTGCTTGAATCTTGATAGAAATATTCGTCAAAATACGTAAAACAATTAAAATTATTAAAAACAAAAACTTAAAAATAGTTATTAACATTTTTTAAGTAAAAATAGCATGCTTCAGCAGAATAATAATATTAATACCATAAATATTAAATACTTCTTTATTTAAATTTTTGCTAAGCAAAAATACTAACAATTTCAGAATTTAGAAATTTGATTGTAGATGTTAAATTAATTTCCTTTATCCGTGGGAGTAAAATGACGTTTTTTTACCTTAGGGAGTAAAATAAGCGTTTTCAACACTAATGTGTAAAATAACTTTTTCGGCTCTAGAGGTGTATAACTTTCATTTTTAACTCAAGGGAATAAAAACAGACCTTTTTGACATTAGGGTGTAAAATTTATTTTTAGCCCCGAGGTTACATAAAGACCATTTTTGACCCTTGGGTGTAAAATGTGACTTTTAACATTAGAAAATAAAGTCTATTTTATAATATAATATCAAAAAGTATCATTTTACTCCCTAGGATCAAAAAAGGCTATTATATTCCCTAGGGTGAAAAAGTATCATTTTACTCTCTTAGATAAAAAAATTCTATTTTATTCCTTAGGGACAAAAAGGTTTTTTAGTCCTTAGAACCAAAAAATTTAATTTTATTCCTTAGGGACAAAAAGGTTATTTTAGTCTCTAGGGTAAAGTTTAATACTTCAGATTCTATAGCCAATTTCTAAGTTTAAACATTTTTGCTAGCTTGTTTATTCGCTTAGTGTTGGGTAAATTATTTATCTTTTTTAATTTTTATATTTTTACTATCTTACGTAGTGAAATAATAAACTATTTTACATAGGAATTTATCCTCTTTTTTTCATGATCATTATAAACACATAATTCTTAGCTGCTTTGAAGATGAAGAATAGAATTGTCTTCAAGTTTTGAAAAATAGGTATATTGAAACTACACACTTTGCCAATATTTATGACAACCATATGAGTAAATAGTGTGATGAATATAATTCAATGGCAGTTGAGTTAGCTTCGAATATATAAAAAGGTGGATAGAAGTTGATAAGATACAAATTGCATAATATGACTTGTAATAAACTACACTTCTCTTAATATTATGTTTTCAATGAAGAAGCATACAAATATTACAATGCAAGTATGTGAAATTTTTTTTTTACTTTCTCACTAAAAAATATTTGAAAATTCATTATTTTTTCTAAATTTATTTATTATTATTATTATTATTCATTATTATTATTATTATTTCTAATTATTAAAATTTTTCTTATTTATTATTTGTTACTTTTTTAAAATTTCGTATAATTTGATTATACTTTATTTCAGGTACTTCTCAGTACTATTTTGTTGGTGACAATCATTGCATACGCATGTGGTAATTATATATATATATATAACTTGTATTATTTCGATCAGTCGCAATAAAGAAGTCAAATATATTTAATTAAGCGAAAATATATGAAATAAAAATTTCGTTTACATGGGGAATTGAACCCTCGGCCTTAAATTTGTAACGTGTGTAAATTACCATGCAGCCACTAAGAAATTGATAATTTATTTTTCACTAGTTATTTTTTTTTTAATATTAATGACGCGCTTATATAATATATTAAAAATTTTTTTCATTGAAATATTAGATCAGAATTTTGACATAACCTCAAAAAAACCGTTAAATTCAACTACGCAGTCAGCAAAAAAAAAAAAAAATTTCTCTCTAAACTGGGGAAGGGGGTCTAACCATGTTAACTATATTTTTCTGGAGTCGTTGAAGTTAAATCCGAACCATATTTCATCACATTAGTTCAGGATTCTGCCATAACCTTAAAAAAAACACTAAATTTTAGCTACGAATCCACCAAAAAAAAAATTTTCTTTCTTATCTGGGAGTCTAATTGTGTTTACTATATGTTTTTGGGGTTCCTAAATCCGAATTCGAGGCCCATTTAACATCATTAGCTTAGAATTCTGCAATAACCTCAAAAAAAAAACCGTACATTTTAGCTACAAATTAAAAAAAATTCTATTTCATCTGAGAGTTTTTTGTTTACTATATATGTTTTTGGGGTTCCTGTATCCGAATTCGAGGCCCATTTAACAAAATTAGTTTGTGATTCTGTCATAACCTCAAAAAAATGTGTTTCTAATGTATTTTCTGAGGTTAGGACAGTATCATGAACTAATGAGGTTAAATTAGCCTCGGATTTGGATTCAGCGACTTCAAAAACATGTAGTGTTAACCTAGTCAGACCCCAAGATCAGAAAGAAAATTTATTTGTTGCATTAGTATCTCCAGGAATTTTTGAGGTTATATCAAAAACATTATCCAATAAAGGTAAAGAGATCTTGGATCCAAATTCAGCGACTTCAAAAACATAGAGTAAAAAAATAATCAGAAATTTTCTTATTTTCATATTGCTGTGATAACAGTTTTTGGAGAATCGTTATAGTAACGTTATATAGGTTAGAAATAAGGTAATTCTCATTTTCTACAGGTGCAGCTATTAAAGATGAACAACCAAATAATAGTAAATCAAAATCATTTTCTTTTGTAATTAATGAAGACGGTAGTATTAATCGCACTGACAACAACAATACATTAGGAGGAAGTTGGAATTGGAGTACTGGAAATGGATCAACTGGAGGTAATGGTAGTTGGCACGGCGGTGGAGGAGGTGGCTGGAGCAATGATGGAAATTGGCACGGAGGTGGGGGTGGAGATTGGGGAGCTAATGGTGGAGGAGGTTTTGGCGGAGGCGGCTTTGGAGGAGGTGGTTTTGGAGGTGGCGGATTTGGCAATAATAGAGGAGAGGAAGGCAATGGTTTAGGCAATGCTTTAGGTGGAATTGCTGACTGGTTTAGACCACCGCGACTTAGGGGATTTGGTGACTTTAGAATAGGACCACTTCGTGCTTCAGCGTTCTTAGGCAACCAGAATGATGATAGTGATTCTTCAGAGGAATAAATCCCAAACGCATATAATCATTTATTTTATGATTATTTATAAACAATAAAAATGTAATTCGCAATTAATATACATCTTTATTAATTTAATTTGTTAAAATTTTCTTCTCAAGTGGATAATATACAGAGGGAGTTTTGGGGGTTCACCCCCCCCCCTCTTAAGAAATTTTATCATAGTTATGTCTTTTAATATAAGTTTAAGATTTTTAAGGCCTGAACCTTCACAAAACCCATCTCGAAATTTATTTCTAGCTACGACCCTGTGGATAAATTTAATCTTCCTTGAGGTTAAAGGCAGTAGATATATTCTGCGTCTGCGCAGAAGTTGTATACAAACATTCTGCGCAGACGCAAAGTATATCTACTGTCTTTAACGTTTCAGAAAATAATATTTATCCTCACGCTGAAAATGGGCTCAAAATTAAAATTCAATTAAATATTTAAAAAAAAAACCGAATTCTTCAGTGTTAAAAAAATATAAATCAACTTTTCTGTCATTCAAATGAAAAAAAAGGTTTAATGATAAAATAAATGAAATCAACGGATTTGGAGCGAACTGTCTCTGTACCTTAATTTAAAAATTGACAGGGGAAATTTTTTTCCCACATATGTGTACATAAATTATATTCGATCTATATGTCTAAAAAAAAGTGAAATTTAACGGATAGATCCCTTTGGGAGCGTCTCGACACAATGACGCGTTGTAGCCGGGATTTTCAATTTGTCTTCATCCTTTATACTTGCCACAAGTCTCTGATGCTGGCGAGTTTCCACCCGAAGTTTCCTTCTCTCTCTGTGTGTGTGTTTGCATTTAAACGCAAGTTGTTCGATGTGGTAGGCGTCTTTGGAATTTAGATTGCGTCGTTAGAAGGCCGTTATGGGAATTCCGACTTTGATTGGAAAGTACCTACAATTTACATATTGTTTTCCCGCATTTCTGTCAGCTTACATTATGTGTACGTTTCTTGCTTCAAAACTTTTGCATATCGTATCAGCGCAATGCCGTAAAGAAGAAACAACAACTCTCATGCATATATATCTTTAAATATATATCTATTTTTTTTTTTGTATGTAACAAAATATTCGTTATTTATTATAAAGTTACAAGCACTGTGATGTGACATTTTTTACAACTTCCAAAAACATTGATTTATTTATATTTATATATTTAATTTATTTATATGTTATTTATATGTACCTATATTATATTTATTTATTTATATATTATTTATGTATAATTATTTATTTATATTTTTAAATTAATTTATGTAATATTTATATGTATATGTATTTTTTGTTTGTTTATAGAATTATTTACTAACTGAATAATGTATTCAGTATTGTTGCGAATATAAGTTCAAATTCAAACGTATTTCGCGCCTTTAACATAGCAGACGATGAAGCGCCTGCGCGCAGACTTAAGTCAGGTTAGAAACGATACGCTGCTTAAACGCAACATTAGAGAGTAGAATTTTTATGACAGTGTTGACATCGGCGAAAGTCTACCAACAATTTTGAGACAGGACAATTCTCCTCAAAACGGAAGACGATAAAAAATTGCAAAAAATCGGTGAGTCGGCATTTATAATTTTTTTATTACATTTTAATGGTGATTTTTTGTCATTAAATTTAATTAAATTTTTGACAATTTTCATATTTATTTTATTATTATTAACAATTTGTATATATGTTTACATATATATATATATATATCTAATTTCAAATGTATCATTGTTTCGCTGAGTTATTTTCTTTATTGTTATTTTTATTATTAAGAGTGTCGAACGGTCTCTGATATTCTTTGGCTTTTAATTATCGCCTTATAAAAACGGCACTTAACGTGAAAATGATAAACATTGATTTTAAAATACTTTTTTGAAAATCGGTTAAAATACCAAGGATCCTTATATTATAAATTTCTTAAGTTCGAAAGATTGTGCAAATCTATAGAAAAACGCGATTGTAAAACAAAAGGTAGGAAAGTAATATAATGACAGCTTTATTACGTCCTGCAGCCGTGAGGTGGCAGAAGCATACAGGGAGCACAATGTCGCAGCTGCCATTATATAGTCCAGTCAAGTTAGCATTTTTAGATATTTTAACTCAGGACCTCAGCTTTTTTTTTTTGGTTAAACCCTTCATTTTGGGGTCAAAATAAAGTACCTAAATTGTATACTTCGAACTCCTTCGGGAACCTAATTTTTTTTTTTGTAAACTAGGTGCAAAAAATCAGTTTTTTGCAAATTGCTGCTTCCCATTACATTTTAGTGTAAAAATAGTTGAGAGAGAAAAGAAAGTGTATAAAATTCTGAGTAATTTCAAAAAAATCAACCCTGTAGCTCAAAAATTGCCCGAGATATACACGGAGAAAAAAGATTTCTTTTATAAAGTAACTTTTACTACTTTCAGAGTAAAACTGGACCAACTCAAAGTTTCTGCGCATCTCTGGCAATTTTTACTCCAAAAATAGTAAAATTTACTCTAGAAATAGTAAAACTTACTACGGAAACAGTAAAATTTACTACAGAAATAATAAATTTTACTATTTTTGGAGTAAAAATTGCCAGAGATGCGCAGAAACTTCGAGTTGGTCCAGTTTTACTCTGAAAGTAGTAAAAATTACTTTTTCTTTTTCTCCGTGTACCTTTTTAAAAAAGCCCATTTTTTTCGTGATTTGATCATAAACGTTGTAAATTTCATCGACGTCGAAAATTACCGTGCAATATTCATGAAATATTATGTAAAAAGACTCGCCTGCAATATTTAAGAAATATTTTACAAAAATTTCAAAAAATTTTTTTTTTTATTTGCAATCAAAATTTTGTATTTTTGAGGTGATTCTACATTTGCGGACAAAATGAAAGAATGAATACCTAGATTATTATAGTTTAGTTAAAAAATAAAATAATTCTAATTCCTTGTCGAAATTACGTCCAGTCTCGTATGAAATTTGAAAATACTTTGTTCTCGTAAAATGACAACATGCCTTATCTTCTTTCATCCGGATTGTCGCACATATTTATATATATATATATATATATATATATATATAAATGCAAGCAGGGGTAATAGAAAATGTACGTTTCACATTTAGCATCCAGCAGTAGCTAGATAAGCGTAAGAGAGAGAGAGAGAACGTTGGTTCATTTTGACGGTGCAACGGTTACGCGACATGTCGCTCGTTCCGCAGGACGTAGATATAGTCCCGCCTTATTACCGAGCGACATCGTTACCGTCGCTCTCTTATCGCACTTTACCCATCTACAAGCCCCTTGTACGTGTCTCTCAACGTATAAACGGTTTTGCGAGAATATTCCTCCGTGCAGGCAATAAGCACCAGTACCAACAACCTAAACAGTAATTTTACAGCTTCACGTCTTATCTTTTGATCTGCCCTTTTACTCGAGGTACACAGACATAGTCATCATTATCATTATTATCATTGTCATCTCCTTTTTCAAGTGTAACTTCTGATTAACTTTCTCAGTTATTTTTTTTATCACACACTCAACAAAGTAGGTATAAATTTTTTAAAAGAAAATGTTTTAAAACATAAAACAACAAATTGGAAATTTTCGTCATCTATTAAAAGTTGGCGCTTTACGCGCCAATTCCCATTATTTTTCACTTTAATGATTAATTTTTTAAAGGCTTACAAGTATTAAAATTTTGAGATTATTTTCGTTTCTTGGTTAGGGGGAATTTGAAGTCATGTTTGTCGGACATAGACTCAAATCCAATGGTCCCTTAACCTATGTCCTTGAATTTTGAGGTTATGTTTGAACTAAGGCCTTGAATCCTTGACACCTATACCCTAGAATTTTGAGGTTCTGTTTGATCTCTGATCTTGAATCCTGGAACCCTATGCCCTTAAATTTTAAGGTTATGATGCACGTTAATTCCCCTTAGGGTTTGAGGTTAAAATCAGAACATTACAGAAACTGTAGCTTTTCATTTTTCTAATTTTTAAAGTTCCAAATTGTCGAGTTCGCGTTCTATATGTTTAAATGAAGAGAAAAAATACTTAAATTTTATATATTTTTAATAACATTTAAAAATACACATTGTTTTGATTATTATCTTACACTAACAACCAGTTATCTTATTGATGTTTTACACTTAAACAATACCGTTTATTTAAAATATTCAACTTCAAAATTTAAAACCAATATTTTGATATATGTGATATGTGATAAATAAAAGTGAACGTTTAATTAAGGTAAAACTATCACTAAACATGCTAAGAGTGCTAACATGCTAAGTGTTTAAAAACACTTTTAAACAATTTATATAAGCAAATACACTGTACTGTATTAACGGCATAATCAGAACTTAAAATTCTCTAAAAGCACTATTAATTTTTGACCAAAAATGTTAATAAAGTTATTAAATTTGTTTATAAAAATAATACCTAGTTAAAATAATTTTTTTTCACAAGAATAATATTTTGGTGGCTTCGATTCTTCAGTTTATTTTCGAAAAAAGTTTTTTTAAATAGCTGCGACTTTGTGCTCCCTGTATGCTTCTGCCATCTGACGGCGACCAGACGTAACGAAACATAAACAAATACTTTAAGTAATATTACTATAATAATTTCAATATTCAGGTATAAAGGACAACTAGTACAATAGGGTGTCATAAATGGTTTATTATGACTAGACTTCCTGTCGACTCTATTGTTGTTATGTCCCCTTTTCTCCTTATTTTTTTCAAATATTTAATATTTTAATATAATATTTTAACAAAATTTAACTTTTAGACCACAATTATGAAATTCGAAATTTTTTTTTTTTATCTATTTATTTAAGGTCAAAAATTTAATGTTTTAATTTAATATTTCTTCACAAAAAATGTGCTCCCTGCATGCTTCTGCCATCTGATGGCGACAGGACGTAACGAAACATAAACAAATACTTCAATGAATATTACTATAATAATTTCAATATTCAGGTATAGAAGGACAATTAATACAATAGGGTGTCATAAATGGTTTATTATGAGTAAACTTTAAGTCGATTCTATTGTTATCTCTCTTTATTTTTTTTTTGAAATATTTAATATTTTAATTTAAATATTTTAATACAAATTAATTTTTGACCACAATAATGAACCAAATTCGAAAATTCTTGTTTCCTTTAACTAAGAAATAAATTTTGAACAGATTAAAAATTCAATTAATTTTTGACCAAAAATTGGGGTACAATGTATTTGTTTATATAAATTGTTTACAAAATATAAAAAAATTCATTTTAAAACAATTGATTAATGAAAAGGAAATTTACACACAAAAATCTAAAGAAAATTTACCTTATAAAATTTCAATAGCTAAATGATAGAAGATCTAATAAATTTACTTTTTTAGTCTTTTGATTTGTAGTGTGAATAGATTAATAGTATAAATTGATTTAAAAATGTTCTTTAAATATTTTATAAAAATTTTAAAAAAAATGAAAATTTTTTAAGAATATTTGGATATATTATTTTTAAGTTGAAAAAATAATAATAGTATTTTATTTAAAATCTTTTATTCAATTGATTATTCTTTAGTGTATTTTCGAAAAACGTTTTTTAAAGTAGCTGCGACTTTGTGCTGCCTGTACGCTTCTGCCATCTGATGGTGACTGGAAGTAACGAAACATAAACAAATACTTCAAATAATATTATTATTATAATTTCAATATTCAGGTATAGAAGGACAATTAATACAATAGGGTGTCGTAAATGGTTTATTATGACTAGACTTCCAGTCGACTCTATTGTTGTTATGTCCCCTTTTCTCCTTATTTTTCTTTCAAATATTTAATATTTTAATATAATATTTTAACAAAATTTAACTTTTAGACCACAATTATGAAATTCGAAAATTTTTTTTTTGAATCTATTTATTTAAAGTCGAAAATTTAATGTTTTAATTTAATATTTCTCCACAAAAATGTGTTCCCTGCATGCTTCTGCCCTCTGGTGGCGACAGGACGTAACGAAACATAAACAAATATTTTAAGTAATATTACTATTATAATTTCAATATTCAGGTATAGAAGGACAATTAATACAATAGGGTGTCATAAATGGTTTATTATGACTAAACTTCCAGTCGACTTTATTGTTGTTATCTCTCCTTATTTTTCTTTTGGAATATTTAATATGTTAATTAAAATATTTTAATACAAATTAATGTTTTGACCACAATAATGAATCTAATTTGAAAATTCTTTTTTCCTCTAACTAAGATGTATTGGTAGTAATTTTTAAGATGTTTTTATAGTCACTTTTTAGTTATTTAAAATATCTTAGTTTAAGATATTAATAGTATCTTTGCCAAAGGGCTTCACATATTTTTGATGAAAAAAATTTTGAGAAAAAAAGAAAAAAAAATTTATTTGATTCAAATACTTTAAATTATTTAAAAATACTTAATTGGTTCAAATACTTTTTATTTGGTTAAAAAAATATGTATTTGATTCAAATAACTTGAATTATTTGAATCGCATTTATTTGAACCAAATAAATCATATTTTGTTGAATTAACTAATTAATTAAATTGAATAAATGAATTTATTTAATACCTATAAATAATGAGTTACTTGAAACTATTCATTCATTTATTTCACTCAAAAATTTCGTTTATTTGATACAAATAAAATGTATTTGACACAATTTATTTAATTGATTCAAATAAACTGAATTATTTAATACAAATAATTCGTTATTTAATGCTAATACACTATTTTATCAAGACAAATAAAAAAATATTTCAATCAATTAAATATTTATTTGAAGCGATAATAATGATTTACTTGAAACAATTAATTTATTTATTTCACTCAAATATTTTGTTTTATTGAGACAAATAAAAAGTATTTGATACAATAACTTTATTTAATTGATTCAAGTCAACTAAATTATTTAATACTAATACACTATTTAATGAAGACAAATTAAAAAATATTTTAATCAATATTTATTTATTTCATTTAAATATTTCGTTTTTTTTTTATACAAATAAAAAGTATTTGATACAATAAATTTATTAATTCTAATTAATTAAATTATTTAATATAAATAATGCGTTATTTAATGTTAGTTAATACACTATTAATACGCGTTTTTAATGAAAATATATTTACACTTTTTTTGAAAATTCACCTGGGATGATTCATGATAATAATCATGAAGCATATAATTAATTATATTTAATAAATTGCATTGAATTGAAAAATATAATTTAATATCTTAACTTTAACTAAATGATGTTAAGCACTTTTCTGAGTTAGATATTTTGCAAGTTTAAATGCCATCAAGAAGTTAGCATTCGTTTTCACGTAACGTGCGTAGCGTAGTTGGTAAAGCGTTGGGCTCATAATCCGTAGGTCGTAGGTTTGATTCCCCCCATGCGTTAGATTTATTTATTTCTCAGGTTTGCGTTTAATCATTAATTCTATGTATGAATTAGTTGAAAAATGAAAATATGCGATCATAGTATGTAGAAATTACATATTTTTAGATTTATTTATTTGAGTAAGAATTTAATTTAGAAATTGCAGAATTAGTATATAAATATGTTATTTATTTAATTCAAATTTTGATTTATTTGAATAAAAAAATTCTTATATTTTTTGCAAATAAATTATGTATTTGGATCAAATAAAATAATAATTGCCGCAATTAAAGAGGTTTTAGTTTCAATTAAAACAATTACTTATGACAAATAATCGAATATTTGATTGAAGAAAATTTTTAGTTGTTTCAAGAAAAATGTTTTATTAATGCAAATAAATATTTATTTGAATAAAAAAAAATGCAGTGTTGAATGAAATAATTTTCATAATTGATTCAAATAATTATTTATTAGCTTTGAATATTCCATTTATTTGATTTGAATACTTTGTATTTGGTTCAAATACATATTTATTGGATAATAGACAAGTAAATGATGCATTTGGATTAAATACTTTTTATTTGATCCAAATAAAGTTTTTTTCAGTGTATGGGCTCTTATGTAAGATACTTATTGTATCTTATATTTTAGTAACTTTAAAAAACTGACTTTTCTTAGAATTAGCAAGCATCTTTTTTCTAAACATCTTATGAACATCTTATGACAAATATCTAAATTTAAGTTGTTTAAATAAACTTGCCGGAGTAACTTACATTTTAAGATGGAAGAAATATTATAATTCCATATTACATCTTGTAAGTCACTTATTTTTGCAGTGATGTCATCAACAGATTATGATCTATTGATGACTGGTTAGTATAAAGAGATTTAGTTAATTAGCGCCACCAACCTTACTCAATTTTGTTGCACTTCAGGTTTTTAAAATGGACTTTTTATCTGTTTTTTTTTTTTTTTTTTTTAAATAATCATTATTATAAAAACGATAATTCATCGGCTTCTATTTTGTCATATTTCAAAAATTTATTTTGTATATTTTTTATCTATATTGTTTAAAAAAAACAATATGTTTTTTTTTCTTTGAAAGTAATAAATAATAAACGACTTCTAGTTATTTAACCTTTAAACTGCACCATAGAAAAAAAAACCCGCTTAGTGCTTTTAGCGATCTGTCAGAACGCTATTCTTTTTTTATTGTGTTTTTCTAGTGATTTTAAATTATGAAATGACAACTTTCGTATATATTTTTATTTTTTTTATTTTTATTTTTTTAAAATAAAAGATACGGAGTACCCAAAACAGTTCCTTTTTATTGTTAGTCGGTAATGTAGATTTCAAGTCTAAGCCGAGTTATAATTTGATGTATTTAATAACATTTGAAGATACATATTGTTTTGGTTATTATTTTATACTAACAACCAGTCACTGCTCCTCTTAATTGAGCACTGATCATCAAAGGTGCCTTGTCAGAATTGGAATCAGGTTTTTTAGTTTTCACAAATTGAATCGTTGAAAGAATTGGTCCACACTCTTTACCTGCTATTGTTGCATTGTATGTGTTTCTTAAAGGATATCTTAGTGTTATTTTACCCTTAAAAAAATAACGTTTATTTAAAAATAATCACCTTCAAAATTCAAAAAAAAAAACAACCTTTTGAAATATGTGATGCTTTACAATGAAAGGAATCTTAGCTGCAAAAAATTTGAGATTGTGTTTGTGACTTTTGGATGTGTACTGCTTTTGCGCAGACGCAGAATATATCTACTGTCTTTAATATCTATTACTAAACTTTAGTTAAAAATTTTTTTTAACTAAAATCCCTTTTACCATAAAATGTCACATATAAAAATCTATCAGGCAAAATAACTTTTAATCATTTGATTTTACAAAAAAATATTTTACACAAAAATTTGTTGTCCTCAAAGGGGAACATCCACTGGTGTACTTAACTTTGTCCTAAATGACAACTTTTGCCTTAAATATTTCTTTGTAAAATCAAAGTGATTAAAAGTTATTTCGCCTGATAGATTAAAATGGTATACCCTGTATATAGAGCCCTACCGTCTTTATTGGACATCTTTTAGTATGTCTAAAAAATTTAAGCATCCATAGCTTAATGGTTTGATCAAATGAATCATTTGGATATTCTTTACAGAGATTGGCAAGTTCAATTACTTGCAATCGTCCCGTGTCTTCATAAATTTGACTAATGTAAACCTAGAAAAAAAATTAATTAGGGTCAGCCGGGGTAAATCCGAACGCTTTTAGTAAGTTTCAAGAATAACATGAGTTTTTTCTTTTAAAAGACAATACTTCCGGTATTCTGGTGCATGAAGTTGTTACTTTACTTCCATGGAACAATTTTATGGGGTAGCAAAAATTTTTGATAAATTACAATCGCAGAAAACTTAGCGTTCGTATTTACCTCGATACTTTGCAACTTTCCTAAAATACCGGGGTAAATACGAACGCCACTGTATTTCAGAAAAATCTTAGGGGAAATAAATTTAAAGTATTGCAATTGTTAAACTTATATAAAAACTCAAAAAAAATACGATAATAAACCTATTATGTAATAATGCATCATATATAAATACAAAAATCAAACAGGTTAAAAATTAAAATGCATTACACAATTAAAACCTTCAATAACTTTATCAAATCATAACGGATTTTTGCAAAACTTGGTACAGAAAGTATTCAAAATGGCGGACTTTCCTAAAACTTATTTTTAAAAATGATCAAATTTGCTAACTCCAAATTCGTAATCAACGACCCTGAAACCCCCCGAGTAACAATTTTCGAGCGAATCCAATGAATTTTTTAATTCTCCTCCGCCATATTGGATCCGCCATTTTGAATTTTGAAAAACTGACTTCAAATTGGTAATCAGCGACCCCAAAAACCCTAGAATAGCAAATTTTATTAAGATCCTGAAAAACTTTTTTCAACAAACCATTTGGCCAAAAAAAGTGGAACACTCCTTCGAGAGAACAGAGATTAAGTTTTGTGCTTATTAATTACTAACGAGGATACATATAGAAAGAAAAACTTTTTTCTATGTACTTTTATAATGTTAAAATAATAGTGTAATCAAATAAAAACAATTTTGTGTGGCTCTGATATAAGAAAAAATTATTAAAAATACCGTTCGGATTTACCCCGGTTTTCCAATTTTCCGGGGTAAATACGAACGGTCTGATATTATTAATAAAATTTTACAGAAAGCAAAAATGAAAAATAGTTTCTGTTCTAGTATTTATAACAAACAATTATAAATAATAAAATGAATTTTTAGTTTCTTTTTCTTCAAATACGAGACAAAATACTGAAAGAGTGTCATCTTTGATTTTCAATCTTTTTTGAAATACTCGTTATCTTTGTTTATGCTGTTGCTAATTAACAAACGAAAAATGGGATAATACTTAGAATCTTTTGAAGAGGATCTGAGGTCAAAATTCTCATGTCTAACTTCTTTTTCAAAATTTTAATTATGCTGAAATAATTAGCGTTCGGATTTACCCCGCGCTCGGATTTACCCCGGCTGACCCTACCTAATTGTTTTTTATTTCTAATGTATTATTATTATTATTATTATTATTATTATTATTAATAATTAATTATTAATAATTTTTTGCATTAAATGAAAAATGAACATTTTTTTTTCAATACTTACTGTCAAATCATTATAACTGTCAAACTGTTCTGTCCACTCGATCACTGTTTGGCCATTCTTATCTTTTGTTAAATTTATACCAGTAGCCTCTTTGCCCTTTATTACATGTCCCGAAGTAAAAGAGGACTTTCGAATGACAGCCTTAAAGAAGAAGAAAAAAATATTATTTTATCTACTTCTCATAAAATCGTTGCCAAGTTAAGATATCTCACACAGCACATAATATTTTCTAAATATTTCATTGTTATATTGAAAAAAGGAACATTTTTTATATAATTTACAAGTTTTTACATCCCCCCCTCCGAAAAAATACATAGTATAGATTGGAATTTTTGAAAATTTTTATTAAAAACATAACTATTATCTTCTTTGCGCTTCTTTGTTAAAGATATATAATTCAAAAATATTATTTGGAGTAGGGTGTCATCAACAAATTATGGTACGTTGATGATCGATTAATAGAAAGTGAGATTTAGTTAAATTAGAGCGTGGGAATGTAATTATATTTACTTTAAGAAATAAATATATGAAAATAAACTCACATTTGAAAGTGTAACGAGTACAAAAAGTAGAGAAATAACTTTCAACATTGTAAAAATTTTTTTTCTCTTAATTTCAATGTTGAAACTAAATTATTAACAAATGACTTCGCATTTTTATAGCATCAATAATTAAACTGGTTTTTTTCTTTGCGAACTAAATAGATAACATAATGAATTTTTTTTTTTATCTATTTTGTTTAAAATAATCAATATTATAAAAATGATAATTCATCGTCTTCTATTTTGTCGTATTAAAAAAATTTATTTGATAACTTTTTTATCTATATTGTTTAAAAAATTAATAATATGTTTTCTTTTTTTTAAAAAGTAATAAGGAAACAAGTTCTAGTTATTGAAATCTTCTTTAAAAGATAAATATCGTAGATATAGTATATATACTAACCAGTATCGTACGTTATATATATTTCTAATTCTCAATAAATTTTACTTTTAGGAAATCTAAATTTCTGTAAAATTCTACTAGATATTAATAATTATATATCGATATATAAGCGTGACGTTTAACGATATTTTTCCACAAAAACTTTTAAACACACGTTATTCTCTCTAAAAAAAATTCCTTTTTTTTATGTGATGTTAAAATTTTCTCCTATAACTAATGGACCAATATTTCTAAAATTTTAATCACAAATTCATGGACATGGCTGAAACTAGAATTATGTTAAAATTTTGTGTTTCACTACTTTTTGCAATTAAAAAATATAACTTTTGAAAAACTTTTTTTAAACTTCTGCTATTTTGTTATTTTTTCATTAAACATTAATTAATAATGCTAGTTATTCGATCCATAGTTACGGTCGTACTGAATCTAAATCACTTTGGATTTTGTATTTCGGATTATTCTTTAAAAAAAACCCGTGCAGAAATTATGGTCTGGGCCTCTCAAGGACCTTCCCAGTACGCCTGGATTCTGGCAAGGGCCTGACATGGCAAACTGGTAAGGGCCTAGTAATGGCTTGAAACGGTTTTGCCCTACTTAGGGATGAACTTGCCAGGGTCATGAGAGTTTTCCTGGGAATTACCCTATATTTTGTGACAAAAATAACAATCAGTGAAAAATGTACTACAGGCTTATAATAATCAGTTGTAATGAGTAATTGATTGAATCAGTAAGCAACAAAAACTTGTAACAAAACAAAAAAAGAAGAATGCACAATTCTAGCCTGACAAATAATAATCCCAAAGTCGACCCAACTTCAAATATATAGTAACACCAACACTAAACAAAAAAATTAAATATGGAATTAATTATACAATTAACACATTGTTTATTACTGGAGACCTTATATTTACCCCTACCTATTATTATTTAACGCAATCGCTTACATAAATTTTGAAAAATATTTAACGCTCGCTGGGATCGAACCCCCTAACCTAACGCTCCGTTATCTAACACGCTAACCATTACGCCAACTTAACGTGAGAAAATAAATACAAAATTCATTTGATAAGTTGCAACTGAGGAAAATGAAGACTTGAGCAGCAGAACAATAAAGAAACAATAATTATATATAAATTATAATTTATTTTTAATGTTAAATAATTTATTTAACATAAGTTAATATTTTCATTTTTTTATTTTATTAAAACCTAGGAACATAATTTTTCTTATTATCTAAAATATAAATAATATATTAAAAAAATGACAAATAAATTTTAGTTTTTGTAAAGAAAAAATCACTTATTTCTTTTGAGTTGTTGATAAAATTCTGAGATTAAAATTGTTAAATTTTTTTTAAAAATTAACTTAATTAATTTTTCTTTAATTTTTTAAAAAATTAATAATTTTAATGAATAAATTATTTTAATTAATTAAATTAATAAATTGTTATTTAAATAATTTAAAATTCATAAATATTATTATTAAATAATTATTACTTGATAAAATATTTTGCATGGAAATTTAATTTTATTATAGTTTTATTTGGTGTTAAAAATTACTTTTTATTTTGAGGTTATGTCATAAAACCATGGCAAGACCGAGATGCTCTTAGGAATGCCATACTTGTGGACAAACTGGCAAGGGCCTTTCCACTGCCTTGATATGTAGTTTTCTAGGTTATATTGCAAACATGGCAGAACCAAGTAACTGTTGTTTAATCTAGGAAATGCCGGACTTGTGGAAAAACTGGCAAGGGCCATGAGAGAGCCTTACTTAAAGTAGAACTAAGCAGGGAAATTTCTGCACGGGAAGACTTTAAAAAAAATCAACGACAAGTTTTATTTCTTTTTACAACATTTATATAGTCCAGTAAAATTAAACGAAAAACAAGGCATATCATGTTTTAACTCAGGACCTCAGTTTTTTTTTTTTTTTTTTTTTTTGGTAAAATTTCAAAAGGGTCAAATTTGAGAGACTGTATCTAGGAAACTATTAGAGCTGTTGCATTGTTCTTTTTTTCAAATTGTCAGGAATTTTGTCAGCTTCAACTTTCCTGTTGGACATTTTTTCAAAAAATTATTTGTTTCAAAGCTAGATTGAAAATACTGAAAAATACCAAATTTTTGCTACATTCACGAAAAAAATGGGTTTTTTGAAAAAGGTATATCTCGGGCAATTTTTGAGCTACAAGATTGATTTTTTTCAAATTACTCAGAATTTTATATACTTTCTTTTCTTTCTGAACTATTTTTACGCTAAAATGTAATGGGAAGCAGCAATTTGCAAAAAACTGATTTTTTGCACTTTTTTTACAAAAAAAAAAATTAGGTTCCCGAAGGAGTTTGAAGTATACAATTTAGGTATTTTATTTTGACACCAAAATGAAGGGTTTAATCAAAATAAACTGAGGTCCTGAGTTAAAACATCTAAAAATGCTAACTTGACTATTAGAGACGGTTTTCACCTTGTGGGTTAAATTTAATCTTTCGAGAGGTTTAAAGGCAGTAGATATATTCGCGTCTGCGCAGAATGTTGGTTTTTATAACAACAAAAAATATCAAATTGTTTTTATAATTATATATTAATGGTTTTTTTTTTAAATTATACTACAATTAATTAATGTTAAAGTATATTTTCCAATGTAAAATTTTGAGGTTATGTATTTTGATTTTCAATATAACAAATATAATTATATATATATTTATATTATAATATAAGTCAAATATGTTATAAACAATAATTGGCTTGTCTCATTAATGTTAATAAATAAATAAATAATAATAAAGTACCTTATATACTTACCGATATTGATTTGATATTTTTTGTTGAAAAATAAGATGTATAGAAACATTGTGCGCAGACGCGATAATATATATCTACTGCCTTTAATCTCTAGAAAGATTAAATTTAACACACACGGTGAAAACCGGCTCATATAATAGCGTTTTGCCTTTTCACCCCACTTGGAAAGATTCCCCGGAAATTGCCCCCTGGAGGTTCTATCAGAATTCCGCCGGAACTTCCAACGTAATTTCGTCAGAATTCCATCGGAGTTCCAAAGAATTTCCGATGGAATTCCGATTAATTTTTTTCAAAATTTTTAGATTCCTAATTCAGTAGGAACCCCATCGGAAATTCTTTGGAACTCCGATGGAATTCCGACGGAATTACGTTGAAAGTTCCGGCGGAATTCTGATAGAACCTCCAGGGGAGACTTTCCGGGAAATCTTTCCAAGTGGGACTCACGAGCTATTTTAACTTAAATTTAATATAGATTTTTGATTGTTACAAAAAAAAATAATTAGAAATTAAAAAATATTTCAAATAGTATTTATTTTAAAAATTTAAGAAAAGGTAGAAACCCTTATGAAAATTCTTTATAAGAAAATAATGTTAAAGCTGAAATATTTTTAGTATAATGTTTTTTGTATAATATTTTCGCGATTATAGGTAATTTTTTTATAAGAAATTCATTATAAAATTTTTTTCTCAAATAATTATAAAAATATAATTATCAGAGACTCAGTAATGAAATCATTGGAATTTTATAATTATGAAAATGTAATTGTCGAAAATAAATTTTTTAACGTGCAAAAATTAAAATATTATAAAATTAAAATTATAAAAATTTAATTACAGAAATTAATTAATTTTGTATTTTACTGATAACATATATAGTTTTGTAATTTTGTATTTTACTGATAACTATATATAGTTATCAGTAAAATACAAAATTAATTAATTTCTGTAATTAAATTTTTATAATTTTAATTTTATAATATTTTAATTTTTGCACGTGAAAATTTTTTTTTTTTCTATAATTACATTTTCATAATTATAAAATTGTAATGATTTCATTACAGAGTATCTGATAATTATATTTTTATAATTATTTGAGAAAAAAAAATTTTATAATGAATTTCTTATAAAAAATTACCTATAATCGCGAAAATATTATACAAAAAAAAAACATTATACTAAAAACATTTCAGCTTTAACATTATTTTCTTATAAGGAATTTTCATAAGGGAATGGAGGATATTAGGCATATTGTGAAAAGATTGAAATATTTTTTATAAATAAATAAGAAAAAAAAATTCCCTTCAATTAATTATAATTACATTTGACAATATTTTAAGATACACATTTTTCTTCGACATTACAATATAATTAACAACCCTCGCCAGATATTTCTCCTCTAAGTTGTGCACTGAATAACAAGGGAGCATCGTTAGAACCAGGTTTCTTACTTCTAACAACGTGCATGTTTGATACAATTGGACCACAATTTTTAGCTTCACTTGATGCTTCGTACGTGTTAGTTAGTGGATACTTAATTGTTATTTTACCCTAAAAAAAAAAAAAAATAACGTTTTGTTATAATTTTTAATAACTTTCAAAAGCAAAAAACGTTCTTTGATTTTACCTAACTCTAAAAAAAATATAGAATTTATAAATTTTTGCCAAGAGAAAAAAAAAGTTTCAGTTACTTTTTATTCGACTTTTGACATTTTTTTTCTGTAATGTATTATGAAAGTGAAAGAAATACTGCAATTTTTTTTTTCTCTTGTTAAAAAATTCCTAAATTTAATATCATTTTTAGAGTTAGATGTCATTGAAAATATATAGGTATACTTTTAAAAAAATTTTGAAAACTCCAGATTTTTAAAAATTCATAACTCAAAAATTTGGATACTTATTAAAAAAAATTTTAAAAAAAAAATACGTATACCATTTTTTTCTATAAAGAAAAAAAAAATTGAACCAAATTGAAAAGATTTTCGGTAAATTTCACGAGGAATCTTATATATAATATATAGAAATATATAAAATTTAGAGTCTTACCTTCTTTAGTGGACACTTATTGGTGCCTCTAAACTTTCTTAATAGAAAATGCTTAATGATATCCGCGAAAGAACCTCTTTCATAATTAGAGCATAGATTACTGACTTCAACTACTTCTACAATTCCGGTTTTTTCATAAATGTGGCTGAGATAAATCTAAAAAAATTTATTATTTCAACAATATCTTTTAAATTGATTATTATTAAATTATGTTATTACTTTTTTACTGTAATAAAACAATGAAAAAAATTTTTTTTTCAACTCTTACTGTCAAAGCATTATCACTGTCAAATTGTTCTTTCCATTCGATTACAGTTTGGCCTTTACTATTTTTTGTTAAAGTTACACCAGTAGCAAATTTACCTTGAATAATATTTCCTGAATTAAAAGTGATCTCTCGTACTGCTGCCTAAAAAGAAAAATTAATTGATTTTTTTTCATATTTCTTAAAAAAACTGTTAACGAAATTCTCTTCTTTTAAATAGAAGATGTTGTTTATTAATTGGAAAACGTTATTTGATTTTTTAAGTGTTTAAACTAAAATTGATCACATCTTAACTAAAAAAATTTTTTTAATTGCAATTTTTTTTTTTTTTATTAAAAATACGAAAATATGAGGTTGTACTAAATTTTATTTTGACTGTTCGTCCAATTCTGTTTTTATATACATTAACGAAGCTCTCTATATTTTATTTAAATTACAGTCTAAAGTAATTATTTTTTTAAAGCAGTGTTGAGAGAATTTTTCTTTATATTATTATTTAATTATTTCCTGAATTTTTATATTTACTTTGGAGAAAAAATATTTCTTTATTATTTTTTTTTACATTTTTAATTATTTCCTTAAATTATATTTACTTTGAGAAAAAAAAATAATTTATGAAAATTATCTCACATTTGAAACAGCAATGAGTAGAATAAAGAGACAAATAACTTTTAACATTGTTACAAATTTTGTGATGTTATTTTCAATTTTGAAACTAAAGTATTAACAGTTGACAACAAGTTTTTATAGTATATTTAATTGAACCGGTTCTGTTTTTTTTTGCGAGGTAAAAGATAAGATAATGAACCTTGTATCTTTATTTTATAAATAATTATTTTGTTATATTTTTTTTCCTTAAAAAGTAAAAAAATGTATCGATCTCTATTTTTTTCTAATTTTTTAAATTTTATCACCTATATATTTATAATATTGGTGACGTTATATTTTTGCGCAATTTTAATTTGTTTCCAACCAATATCCTACTTTGGGAAAAACTTATTAGAGCCTTGTCAGTTTTTCTTTAAAAGCCCTATTCTGTCAAATATTATATTTTTTATTTCTATTTTTTTCTTTTTTTTATTTCTAATTTATATTTTATTTAAGATTATTACACATACAGTACATAAAACACTTGAGAATAATTTTGAAAAATCTTGCACGCAAGGGGAATCGAACCCTGGACCTTTGGAACGCGAGACGTGTACTTTGACCACACAGCCAAATTGATTTATATATTTTTTACCTATACTACTTCTTTTTAAATATTAAGACTGTACACCTTCTATTTGTGATTTGTTTTTTGTTAATTTTTTTTATATTTAATAATAGTTCACAATCCATTTATAATATAAATTTTAAAAAAATAATAACATATTTTTTTTAAATTGTGAATAAATTAATTGAATAATTACAAATAAGTTGTAAGATTGTTCGATAAAATATTGCCTTTTGCAAAATATAATTTTTAATAGAACTGGTTTTTATTATTGTTTTATTTACGCGATTATATATAGAAAAAATAATTAACATTTTATTCATATTATTAAAAAAAATAATATATATTATATATTTTTCCTTTGAATGAGATAATAAATATTCTAGTTATTAAAATACTAATTTATATGTTTTCCATGTGATGCATTATTAATAAATTACCAATGATTATTTTGAATATATTATTGCAAAACTTATATCAACCTTTTTAAAAATATAAATAAAATTAATTTTAAATATTTCCAAAAAGAATAATGACAAACTCTTTTTTTTTTTTGCTTTAAATTACATATTATATATTTGTCGATATTTAAATAAACTCCATAATGTCTTTGACAATTATATTAATTACTAACAATCATCGCCCGATATAACTCCTCTAAATTGTCCACTGATTAACAATGGAGCCTCGTCAGAATTTGATTTTTTATTTTGTACAATGTGAAGATTTGCAATAATTGGTCCACAATTTTTAGCTTCTTTTGTTGCTTCGAATGTGTCAGTAATTGGATAGGTAATTTTTTTTGTACCCTAAAAATAATATTTTTGTTTTTTAATTATTTTTTTAAAATTAATATATTTGTAAATAATAATTTATTATTATTATTATTATTTATAAAAAATAAAATAAATAAATTACCTTTTTTATTGGACATCTGTTAGTACCTCGAAGTTTTTTAAGAACAAATTGTTTAATAATATTTTCAAATGATCCACTGGGATATTTAGCACAAATATTAGTAAGTTCAACTGCTTCCAAAAGTCCAGTGTCTTCATAAATATGACTGAGATAAACCTAAAGAAAAATTTATTTAATTTTTACTACTCAGACGGTGGTTTAAATAAAAATAAATTGGCACTTAAAAATTCTTTTGGATTATGATTCTTAAATGAATAAAAAACATTTTTCAATAGTTTTTAAAATCAGTGTAAGTGCCCGATTTAAAAAAAATTGAGTTTTTATATAAAAACTGTCTTTTATGAGGAATCAGAATTTATTTAATCTAATAAATACTGTAATAAATGATAAAATAATTACTTATTTTCAATTTTACATATAAATAATTATATTGCTGTAGTGTTTGTGTCCGATTTTAAAAAATTAAATTATAATGTTAAAAGAACGATTTTAAGAGTGACAAAATTCATTTAAGAGAGTCGAATGATCTCTGAAATTTTTTGGCAAGAAGAGACCTTTAATTATCGCTCTATAAAAACGGCACTAAACGTGAAAATGATAAACATTAATTTTAAAATACTTTCTTCTCGAAAGACGGACACTTTTTACAAAAGCAGCTAGAGATCTTTATCTTATATAAATTTCCTAAATCCTAAAGATTATACGAATCCATACAAAAGCACGATTGCAAAACGAAAAATAATATAATGACAGGTACATTACCTCCTGCCGCCGTCAGATGGCAGCAGCATGCAGGGCGCACAAAGTCGCAGCTGTTATTAGATTACTTTTCTACTTTTTGTTTTGCAACCATGTTTTTCTATGGATTCGTACAGTCTTTTGGATTTAGGAAATTTATAAGATGAGGATTTTGGCTGATTTTGTTAAAAGTGTTCGTGTTTCGAGAAAAAAGTATTTTAAAATCAGTACTATTTCACGTTCAGAGCGATAATTAAAGCTCTCTTCGTGCCAAAGAATTTCAGATACCGTTCGACACTCTTAATGCATAAATATAAAAACGAAACAAGAAAATAACTTCATTGTTAATAAATTTATATGAACCCAAATCTAAAACATCTATTATCTATACGCATATAAGTATACATTAAATAAATTCTGGTTCCTCATAAAACACTATTTTTTAATATTTAAAACTCAATTTGTTTTAAATTGGGCACGTAAGCTGATTTTAAAACCTATTGAGAAAAGTTTTTTATTCATATTAGAACCATAATTAAAAATAATTTTTAAGTGCCAATTCATTTTTATTTAAACCTCCTTCTGGCGCACTATTATTATTATTAATTTTTTTTTTTTTGATGTAATAAAAAAAATCCTTACTGTCAAAGGATTGTTACTGTCAAATTGTTTATCCCAAATAATTTCTTGTTGTCCATTATTTATTTTTATACTGATACCACTGGCATATTTGCCTTGAATTATATTTCCCGAAGTGAAACTAATTCGTCGAACTACAGCCTAATAGAAAAAATAAAATAATTTTCTAATATAATTTATTTTCAAAAAAAAAAAAATTTTTTAAATATTTTAGTTGTATTCTATTTTTTAGAATATTAAAAAAAATATATTTTTAATTTCTTGAAAATTCGACTTTTTCTAATTTTTTTTATCTGCAATTTTAAAATTTTTAATATCACATTTAAATTCAACGATAAAAATTACTTCTATATGTATACTCACATTCGAAAAACAAATGAGTGCAAAAAGAAGAAAAATTACTTTCACCATTCTTCATGCTTAATTGTAAAGTTACTTTCAATTTTGCAAAAAAATATTCATAGCTGGCAATATGTATTTATTGTAATTATACAATTGAACCGGTTCATTTTTTTACAAAGCATAAAGATAAGACAAAAAATTTCTTATTATTAGTATTATTAAATTATTATAAATCATAAAAAGATATTAAATTTATTCAAAATTGAAAAAATTAAAATTTAGAAAAAAATTTAAATCTTAGCTACAATATTAATTTGTACCCTCGTTTGTACCCTTATTTATTTACATTTTTCATGAGATGCATTGAACATTTTTTTAAATTAATTTAGGTAATATTTTTAGTTTGAAAATTTATTTTTTTGTGTTTTAAAATTATTATTTTTCAAAACTATTATCTATTTTATTTAAAATATTTTTTATTATAATTTTCCTTAAACAAGTGATAATAATCAAATGACTTTGGAGTTTTTTAAATAATTATACCTAAATAATAATATTGTACTAGACACCAACTGTTGACGTTTAATAATTATTATTTTTTTTAACATTATCACGTTTGCATGAATTCATGCAAAAAATAATTATCTATATTATTCTCATAGTATATTTTTGTTATTATTTTTTTAATTATAATTCTCAAATTAACTATCTAACATTTTATAGGTGAAATTTTAAAATTATCTTCTAATAAAATATTTTAGATAGAAAATATTTTATTATATTTTATTAAGTAAATAAAAAATAATCAATTATTATTTTCAAAATTCAAAATGTTCACAAAAACCCTCGAGTAACAAGTTTCAAGCGAATCGGATCAAATTTTTAATTTTGTCGTCCGCCATATTGGATCCGCCATTTTGAATTTTGAAAAACTGTTGTCAGATTCGTAATTAGCGACCCCGAAAGCCCCCGAGTAACCAATTTCAGGAATATTTAAGAATTTTTTTTTTATCTATTTTATAATTTTATTATACGATTTTGATAAACTAAAAATGTAGTTTTTTCTGATTTGGCAAGTTAAAGAAACCTTAAATAATTTATGTAATTAAAATAATTTAAAAATATTTTCATAGTATCGAAGGGATTTTGGAATTATCTATATACCTGCGTACCATCAATTGAATGTTTATATTGAAGGACAAAGGATACCATAAACCAAAGATCATAAACAATGTGGTTGAAAAATTCCAAAGATAATTGAATCAGATATAAAGTTTCTAATTTAGTAATTTTAAAATTAAAATTTAACTTGTGTGTATAAAAATAAATTTTTTTTGTCGTGTTTTTAGTAAATTTTTTATTACGGGAGTGTTCAAAATTCTTAAAATCGCGATCGCTTATATCTTTTAGAGAAATTATTTTTATTCTTTATTTAAACTTGGTTTCGAGAGTGTGTTATTTTAAAAATTAAATTTTTTTTAAATCTCGTGTGTTTCAAACAGATGGCATCATTCGCAGACTAAGGTTAGAGACACACACACACATATATATATATATATAAATTACGTGCAATTGTTTTTCTATTAAAAAAATTTAAAATATTTCATTAAACAGACTTCTCCCTCCTTAAATTAGAATATATTATAAAAATTAAATCCATTTATTTATTAAAATTATACTAGGGTAACTGCACCAGTGGTGGATCAGTTAAGCCCCTTAATTTTCTTTTTTTGACTTTGAAGTTCTGTATAGGTTGTTTTTAGACAAATTCGAGGTTATTCTTTATAGTATTATGGACCAGATAGTCCCAATAGACATTTCCTTCAAGGTTAGACTTAATTTTGACACCTACGTTTACTTTAATGCTCCATCAAAGATAATTTGTCAATGATCCTATTCTGGATCACTGTTTGCACCAGTCATGGTTATAGATTGCTCCAGTGGTGGATCACTTAAAAAATCATACTAAAAAACATTGCATTTTAAAATTACGAGACTGAGACGTTTTGCAACTTTTATAAGGCTTTACGGACAGATTTTCAAATTCACTTTCCTATCCATATCCCCTCCTCTTTCATTTCTATAGGTATAATGTGACTAAATATTAATTAATCATCTTTTTATTAGAATTTTTGGTAATAAATAAATAGAAACTCTTAAAGCTTCAGTTTCAATGATAAATAACATTTATTAATTCTGGGTATTTTAATTCAACAAAAATTTAACAATTTGAAATCAGGGTGTCGATTACGTAACTTTCCCACTTCCCACATCTCACTTCCCACATTTTACATCCCACTTCTCACTTCCCACATTTTACATCCCACATCCCACATCTCACTTCCCACATTTTACATCCCACATCTCACTTCCTACATTTTACATCCCACTTCTCAATTCCCACATCCCATTTCCCACATCTCACTTTCCACATTTTACATCCCACTTCTCACTTCCCACATTTTACATCTCACTTCCCACATTTTACATCCCACATCCCACATCTCACTTCCTACATTTTACATACCACTTTCCACATCCAACATCTTGTGGGAAATGGGAGAGATGTGAGAAGTGGGATATAAAAGGTGGGAAGCGTGATAAGAAAAGTGTAATGTACAATGTGAGATGTGAAGTGTGAAATGTGGGAAGTGAGATGTGGAATGTGAAATATGGGAAGTGGGATGTGGTATGTGAAATATGGGAAGTGGATATGAAATATGGGAAGTAAGAAGTGAGATGTGAAATATGGGAAGTGGGATATGAAATATGGGATGTGGGATGTAAAATGTGGGAAGTGGGATGTAAAATGTAGGAAGTGAGATGTGGGATTTGGGAAGTGGGATATGAAATGTGGGAAGTGAGATGTGAAATATGGGATGTGGGATGTAAAATGTGGGAAGTGGGATGTAAAATGTAGGAAGTGAGATGTGGGATTTGGGAAGTGGGATGTAAAATGTGAGAAGTGAGAGGGATGTGGGATGTAAAATGTGGGAATTGGGAAAGTTATGTAATCGACCCCCAGGTGTTAACAATTAATAAACATTTGAATTAGTGTTAACTAAAATTTAACTCATAAAATTTTCAATAAAACAATGCGTCAACAGGCGAAAAGTAGGACTGATCTACCACTAGATTTTGTTACTTTTTTGGTTCCAGTCGTGGATCACCCCAAAACAATGGACACGCGCTACTTACAGACGTAAATATTGTTCTCAGGGCTCTGTGGGGATGAAACGAAATGCCTCCTATTGTGAAAAGAATTAAAAATTGTCCTAAAATGGCTCCAAAGCTTTCTATTCCAAAATATACTCTTAACTTACATGTTAAGGAAATCTCTTGTTTTCTGTCACCACTTTAGTAATTGTTGTCCTGCTTTCTTCGCGATGAATTTAAAAATTTTTTTAAATTGTAATATTGATCTGTATAACTTTCTTAACAATTACCGACACTTGCGGTTCATTTACTTACAAACGTGTAAACACAAATGACCATTTTTCTCGCAGTTGATCCACCACTGGTGCATGATCCACCACTGGTGCAGTTACCCTATTATTATACAATTTTTATTATAACTAGGAAAATTACACGCGCGCAAGCGCGCGTCCAACTTTGGATGCGATCGTTGTTTTAAAATAATAATAATTCTGCATTAGTGGAGTAATAAATTAATAATAGGTATATTTCTAATTTTCACGTTATCATTTATTTATACACAGAAAAAAATGAGTTTGATGTTATATAAATAGTGATTTTTTAGTTAAGCCACCTCATAATTAGTTAATACAGCAAAAATAATTTAGCTAAGTTAATTTTTAAATTTAATAAACTTGTAAAACTATTAGTTCGATTGTTGACGGTAACAACAATGAAAACCCAAGGAAAAACCTATCAAAAAAGTGATGATAAGAAAAACAAATTAAAACCAATAGTTACAATTGGCGGAGTAAATTTTGTTAAATCAATTCTAGTATCGCCAACATAACCGTCGCCACTTGAAATGCCGAGAAAAATTAATTATGTTGTGTCAATTATGATTAAAATATTCTTTGTCACTTATGTATACTGTATACAAAAAGGCAGAGATTGTTGGGATAAAAGATATTACTGACGAATGGATTTTCTTATTGACAGAATGTATATAACGAGTGAGATCATTTTTTTGTGAATTGATAGTAAAAAAATAAGATTTTTAAGTAAAAATTTTAAAATATAAATATTAAAATTTTAGAAATAAATATTTTTGATAAAGTCAATGTTCGATGATTTTTTATAATCTTTAAAATTACAAAAAATTAGTTTTGCTAAATATTTTTTTGTATTTTCTATAAATATTTCGTTGCAAAAGAAAATTTAAAATTTATGTTTTTTTTTCAAAAAATTTAATAAATTGATAATTAATAAATATTAAAAAATTATGTAATCAAAAAGAAAATTAAATTAACGGAAAATTATTAATTATATTTTAAAAAGTATTATAAGCAATTAAAAAATATTTAAAAATTTTGAAAAAATAAAACCCAAAAAAAACTTTGTAATGTTTTAAACTTTAAACTTAAATTAAAATCAAATTGAAAATTTTTTAAAAAAGCTAACTATTTTTATATTGTTTACAGATAAAAAAATATAACAATAATTTAATAATTAAAAATAAAAACAAATTAATAATAATAAATTTATGAATAATAATATGTAATGAATAATAATGAATAATGAAAAAATAATGAAAGAAATAATAATTATAAGTTAAAATGTTCTAATTATCTGTAATAATCATTATATAAAAAAATGTATGTTTTTCTAATAATATTTATTAATATAAAGGTCCAAAAAAATCACTTTTTAAGTAAAAACAATTGTTTATTTAAAAAATACAACAAAAAATAATGCAAAAAATTCACTTTTTTCTGCAACTCCAAATAAATTGGTTTAAAGATCAAAATTTTCCTTATTTTTCAAGCTTTAATACCGCACAAGAAACATAGAGTCCGAGAAAATATTCAACTCACAATTTTTTAAACAATGTTTGTTTACTTTTTTGTATTTTATTTACTGTGAAACGTCTGCTAAAGCTGCGCGCGACGTTTGGAAGTTGTCGCTTTCCTTATTGAGCAGAAGCTCATTACACTAGCGTAGTAAAAAACATGTTGTGTGAAAAGTGAGGTTTTTCATCCTTCAAAAATG